GTAGTAGTAGTAGTTGTAGTAGTAGTTGTTGTAGTTAGTAGTAGTAGAAGTAGAAGTAGAAGTAGTAGTAGTAGTAGTATGTAATAGTAGTTGTAGTAGTAGTCGTGAGTAGTAGTAGTAGTGTAAGTAGAAGTTGTAAGTAGTAGTAGTAGTAGCAGCGTTAGTAGTAGTAGTAGCTAGTAATAGTCGTAGTGTAGTATAGTAGTTGTAGTGTTGTCGTAGTAGTTGTCGTAGTAGTAGTAGTAGAGTAGTAGTCGTAGTCGTAGTCGTAGTCGTAGTCTAGTTCGTAGTCGTGGTTCGTTAGTCGTTAGTCATAGTGTCGTTAGTCGTAGTCGTAGTCGTAGTGTAGTAGTGGTGGTGGGTGTTGGTGGTGGTGGTGGTGGTTGGTGGTTGGTGGTAGTAGTAGTAATAGTGGAAGTAGCAGTAGTAGTAGCAGGTAGTAGTAGTAGTAGTAGTAGTAGTAGTAGTAGTAGTAGTAGTAGTAGTAGTAGTAGTAGTAGTAGTAGTAGTGGTGGTAATAGTGGTAGTAGTCGTAGTAGGAGTAGTCATCGTAGTAGTAGTAGTAGTAGTAGTAGTAGTAGTAGTGGTGGTGGTTGTGGTAGCAGTGGTGGTAGTGGTACTGGTAGCGGTTGTGGTCGTGGAGGTAGTAATTGTAATGGTTGTGCTAGTGGCAGGGGTTTGTTTGTGTTTACCACCACTACGACTACTATTACTACTACTACTACTACTACTACTACTACTACTACTACTACTACTACTACTACTACTATTGTTACTACTACTACCACTACTCTTACTACTACTACTACTACCACCACTACGTCTACGACTACTACTACTACTACTACTACTACTACTGCTACTACTACTACTGCTACTGCTACTGCTACTGCTACTACTAGTACTACTACGATTACGACGACGACGACGACGACGACGACGACGACGACGACGACGACGACGACGACTACTACTACTACTACTACTACTACTCCTACTACTACTACTACTGCTACTTCTACTACTACTACTAGTAGTAGTAGTACTACTACTACTACTACTACTACTTCTACTACTACCACTACTACTACTACTACGACTACTACTACTACTACTACTACTACTACTACTACTGCTCCTCGTGGGTTGCGATCGGCCCGATTGCAACCGCTTTTTCATAATTTCATCGGTGAGCCTGAGGCAACCCATTCATTCCAGAAGCTCTCTTGGAGAGCCTCCGCTTATCAAAACAATTGGTCTGCGAACCCAAAACATTTAAATTACATCGGGTTGGTTTTAACCGGTTGGAATTTGCCCCAACTGGTTGCGATCGGCCCCAAATGGTTGCGATCGGGGGGCCGTGGATGCCGACCCGTTGTTTGAGACCGCATTTTTGGTGGGGTTCGCGAGCAGCCTTTGGGAGGCACCCTTCTCCACCTCGTCTTTCCTTCTCCCTCATCCCACCCTCTCCCCTCTCCCGCTCCAGAGGTCCCCAGAGGCTTCTGGGGATCTCCAGAGGCATCCAGAGGCTTTGCAGCTTTCCTGCCTCCCTGTCCTCGTTCTCGCTCCTCCTTCCTCCTCCTCCTCCTCCTCCTCCTCCTCCTCCTCCTCCTCCCCCTCCTCTTCCTCCTCCACCTCCTCCTCTTCCTTTTCCTCTTCCTCGTCGAAGCCATAGCGCATCGTGAGTCCGACGCGCCGCAACAAAGCTATCGGGACCATTCTTGGGGCAACCCCAGCAATGGATTGAATGCGGGGGGAACCAACCGCGTCCGAGAGCTACAGCGGATACCAACCTGCCGCCGGGGCGGAAGAAAAGAAGGAAGAGGAAGACGAATAGGAGAGAAAAAGAGAGGCGCCAGTTCACCGACGTGCTGCTCCGCGAACAGCACTGACCGCCGAAAGCGGTCAGCTTCCATGCCTCCGTGGCTTTTCCAGCACCACGGGACGCTGGCCACCCCCAGCGGACTTCTGTGCGGGGCACACGGAGCGGGAAGGCGAGTGGGTGACCAGGCCCACCACCGCAGACCCCCTTGCCCGAGGGGGGTCAGGTGGGTCCACGTCTTGAACCGTGCCCGTAGGCCGACCCCCCCCAGCCACACCTTTGCCCCTTGACGTGACGGGAGGGCCAATACAGTGGCTGGGGCTTGCCCCCACAAAGGCAGGCACCACGCAGGCCGATGCGGACCGAGATCCACGCCGGCCCAGGGGGGGGGGGACCCTCGCGGCCCCAGAGCGCCAGGTCCCCGAGGGGCTTTGGACGGCAGACCCATACCACAGCGGGACCACCGCTGGGGGCTGCCCCAGGCCCGTCATGGCACCGACGCCCCTGGCCCGCCGCGCCGCCCCTGCGCAGGTGACGTCTTGGCGGATTTTGGTTCACCCCAGGAGCCCCGACGTGCCGCCCACACGCCGAGGTACCCTCCTGGGGGCTCCTCCTCCTCTTCCTCCTCCTCCTGTGCATGCTCCTCGTCCTTCTCCGCGTCCTCCCCCCTACTCCCTTCATCGTTACCCCTTGAACGCGTTCTTCCTCGTTTTCCGCGTCGTCGCCATCATCACCCTGTCAACGATGTGTTGTTTTACCGCTCAACGATGTGCTGTTTAGCCGAGCCTGCAGGGTGGGCCCTCTCCCTAATTCGGGTTTCGGTGCGGATCGTCTGCGCGCCTCGTCGTCGTCGTCGTCGTCGTCGTCGTCGTTGTCGTCGTCGTCGTCGTCGTCGTCGTCGTCGTCGTCGTCGTCGTCGTCGTGGTCGTGGTGCGTGTTGCTCTATTCGGAGCTTGCTTCCTTTCTGCAGTGATCGCCACCACCCTCTTTCCTGGTCCCCCCGTGCGCGCGAATGTGATCACACTTCGCGCGTCGTACGGCCCGGGCCAGAGGGGCTGCCCCCCTCCGAGGGAGCGGCGCGAGAGGGCGCGCGGGGGCAGAGGCAGCCGCGCTTCGCGGGACGCGATGCGCGAAGTTCGCCGACGTGGATCATCGCCCTCTTTCGGCCACGTGCGTAGGGGGGTTTGGGGAGGCGGGAACGCTTCTTGGAAGAAGGCTGCTTCTTGGATGGCGCGCGCCTTGTCTATAAAAGTGAGGCCGGCGCCTTTTAAGAAGCGGCCTTTTCCTTAGAAACCTTCCCCCCTACCCCCGTCTGCGCGTCGCCAACTCTTCCCCCCTCGCCCTCGCCGGAAGGACGAGGTGTGCCGGAAATGGAAGTTGGGGCGTGGCTACCGCATGGGCTCGTTTTACGGGGGCGCGCAAGGCAACCCCAACGCGCGGTCTTCCGCGCGCCGTTGTTGTTGGCAGCATTGGGCAACGGAGGGAGCAGAAGAGGAGAAGCGAGGAGGAGGAGGAGGAGGAAGAGGAGGAAGAGGAGGAGGAGGAGGAGGAGGAGGACGAGGACGAGGACGAGGAGGAGGAGGAGGAGGAGGAGGAGGGGGAAAGGGAGGAGGAGGAGGAGCAGGGAGGCGCAATGAGGCGCAGAGGGCTAGAGGAGGAGGAGGAGGAGGAGGAGGAGGAGGAGGAGGAGGAGGAGGAGGAGGAGGAGAGGAGGATGCCCTCCTGAGAAGGAGCCCTCCCTCTTTTTCCTTGTTCAGTATTATTATCGTTATTCGTATGATTATTCTTAACATTCGCATTTGTATTATTATTTGTTCATCAATTGTAGCTTATAGTTTCGCTCTTTCTCTTCTGGCTAGTATGATTATTCATCGTATTGTTATTGTGATTCGTATCATTGCCATCACTATCATCATAGTTATCTTTATCCAAAGGTTGCCGCCTCTGCCGCCGACCCCAAAAACCTCAATCGATGCTTGTTCGCCTCCTGCACGCGTTCGAGCCAGTTGTAACGTTCCCATTAGTTGGTGTGTGGGCTCGTGACCGAAACAGGTGACGGCATGCGACGGAGCCGCGCGAGGGACCCCGAATATGGGTTCGGAGCGGCATGCAACTAGGGGCCGTCGGCTCATCCCGCCATTCTGCCTGGTCTGAGGGTCAGACGCGTTTAGGGGGAGCCCGAAAAGTACACAGAGACTCCCGTATTCCCTCGAGCGGGAGCCTCGTCTGTGAGTGAATTGCGAGGCTGTCTTGAGCGGGAGCCCTCTCCCTATAGGGCCCGCGCGTCGGAGGTAATCTGATGGGGGGGCAGCGGATACATTTCTCACTCTCGTTCTTCCTCGGGCTTCTCAGGGTTGCAAAAGGGAAGTTTCAAGCCTTAGCTTCGTCGGTGAGTGAATCGTGGAAGTCTCGAGCGGGAACAATCGGAATGTATCCGAACTTCGAGGAGGCCTCAGAGCCACCAGGAAACCGTGGGAAGGCCACAGGATTTCTCCATCTTAGCGCATGCTGCACCGGGCCCCGGGAGGTTACAAGAGGAGGCAGGCGGCCCAGGGGGGGAACGATCGGCGGATGAGGACCAGGCAGGATGAGGAAGAAGACAATGCGCAAGCAGTCATGGAGGAGGATGAGATCAGGATGGGGGGGGCAGGAAGCAGGATGTGAAGGCGCGTGCGGGGTGCTTGGCCATTCTTTGTTGTTGGTTTGAGCTTTCTTTGCGTCACTGTGTGGGTGCTCGCTCTGCATGCCTTTGGAGGGTTTATTGGATGGGACTGCGTGCAGGCTAAAGTGTGGCCTGGCGTATGTTGTCTTCTTGGTCGTGCTGGTGGCGTTTTTCTTCTTTGCGTCGGACCGATCGATGCGTTTGTGCTTGCGGTTTGGTTTATTCGGCTCCTGCGCGTCTCAGATATGTGGCGTGTCCTGCTTGGCTGACGAGCGTGGCCATCGCCACTGGCCCAGCTAGGGGTTTCGGAACTGTGAGTGCGTATCGTTCCTGGTCGGCGAGCGCGGCAGTCGTCACTGACCTAGACAGGTGTTTCGGATTTCTAGTGCGTCTTCCTTCTGGCTGGAGAGCGTGGTCATCGTCACTGACTCAGCTCGTTGTTCAAAGGCTCTCACTGGATATCATTTCTGGCTGGGGGGCGTCGCCATCGTTACCGACCCGGCACGGTGCTTTGTATTTTTTGTGCGCGCTCTTTCTGGCTGGCGAGCGTGACCACCGCTGGGTCCCTCAAACATGACGCCCAGAAGGTCCAAGAGGCTGGGGATGTCAGACGTGGTGGGGGGTGCTGGCGCGAGTTTTTGCAGCGTTGCGGGTCCCTAAAACATTGCCCGGAAGGCCCGAGAGATTGGGGATATCAGACGCGTGGGGGGGGGTCGGCGCGTGTTTTTGCAGGGTAGGGGGTCCCTAGAAAGCACCGCGCCCAGAGGCTCCAGCAAGCTGGGGATGTCAGACGTGGTGGGGGGTGCCGGCGCGAGTTTTTGCACAGTGAGGGGTCTCTCAAATATTACGCCCAGAGGGTCCAGGAGGCTGGGGATGTCAGACGTGGCGGGGGTCCCAGCGCGGAGAAAACACCACGCCCAGACGGTCAGGAGGTTGGGATGTCAGACGTGATGGGGGGTGCTGGCGCGTGTTTCTGCGCGGGGGGCGGCCCTAAAACACCACGCCCAGACCAGGAGGGTGGAGATGTTAGACGTGGCGGGGGGTGCTTCTGCAGGGTGGGGGGGGCCCTACAACGCCGCGCCAAGGAGTCCAGGAGGCTGGGGATGTCAGACGTGGTGGGGGGTGCTGGCGCGAGTTTTTGCACGGTGCGGGGTCCCTAAAACACTACGCGCAGAGGGTGAACACCACGCCCAGGGGGTCCAGGAGGCTGGGGATGAACCAGCGCGAGGGTTTGCAGGGTGGGGGGTCCCTAAAGCACCGCGCCCAGATGGTCCAGGAGAGCGGGGATGTCAGACGTTGTGGGGGGGGGGGGGGGGCCGCCGCGAGTTTTTGCAGGGTGGGGGGTCCTTAAAACACCACGCCCAGGAGGCCCAGGAGACTGGAGATGTCACACGTGGTGGGGGGTGCCGGCGCGTGTTTTTGCAGGGTGGGAGGCGCTTAAAACATCACACCCAGAGGGTCTCCAGGAGGCTGGGGATGTCAGACGTGGCGAGGGGGCCAGCGCGAGTTTTTCTACGGCGGGGGGTCCCTCATATTATTTCCAGTATTCGTTGTATCATTATGATTCTGCTTCTGCGTATTATTATCATTATTATTATTATCATTATTATTATTATTCGTATTACTACTACTATTATTATTATCCTTATTATTATTAGTATTATTATTATTATTATTATTATTACCAATGCTATTAACATTAGTATGTTTATATGTATTATTAGTAAGAGTTTTCTTATTATCATTTGCATTCTTATTCTCCTCCTCTGGAAAGTGCCTGGGCGCCGGCGTGCGAGCGGGCCCCGCGGGCTTCTTTTTTTTTTATTTAGTTATTTTTTTGTTTTTTGCACTTCCTTAGCTATTTTTTTTTGTTATTTCTTTTTTATTCTTTAGTTATAGTTAGTGTTGTCCCCTATTTTTTATGCCTACGTTTTTATTTTATTATTTTTTTAGTTTTTTCTAAGTTTTATTACTTTTTTAGTTTATTTATAGCTTATTTCTTATTTTGTATTTTTTAAGTTTTATCTATTTCCTTACCCTTTCTTTCTTTTCTTATTTTTTTTATGTTTTTTTAGTTATTTTTTTTTTTTTAGTTATTTTTTTTTGTTTTTTATTTTCTTGTGTTTTCTTTTTTTTTTACTCTTTAGTTTAGTTGTGGTTTTTATTTTAGTTTATAATAGTGTTTTTGTCTTTTAAGTGTTATCATTTTTATTTATTTTTTTGCGGGCCCCGCGGGCTAGTGCGATGCGCGCTCCTGGGCGCGGGCGCCGCGTCGTGGCTCGCGGGACAGGGGTTGGCACTCCTACTGCTGCGGAAGGAAGGAGCAGGGAGGAGGAGGAGGAGGAGGAGGAGGAGGAGGGAGGGAGGGTCTCGCGATTGTGATCGACCGTGGCCCTTCGTGGCGTTACAGGAGGAGGTGGGCGTGAGGAAGAGGAGGAGGAGGAGGAGGAGGAGGAGGAGGAGGAGGAGGAGGAGGAGGAGGGGAGGACCAGTGTAAACTCAAGACGCATCAACGGTGCTGCAGTAAACCCTCCCTTCAAGTTCCATATTCATTGGTTCTGCACGAAATTTGTCTCAGTGGTCCCTGCACGGAATTGGAAGACAGCTTTCTGAAAACCCTCCATCACGCCAGAACGACATTCTCGGGACTTCAACACCCCGAGTCAACGTGACTGCTTCGTCAGGACAATCCTAAATCGTGCCAGAACACAACTTCGTGGGACGTAAGCACCGCGAACACATTTGATTGTTGCATCCTCACAACCCTAGGTCCTACCAGGACGCAGTTCCTGGGACTTTAACCGTACGAATCCTTCAAACTGCCGTGAGCTGCTACGTGACATGAGTGTGCGTGACGCTGAGGCGAGAGCTTCAGTTTGAATAGGAACCGCCCTCCATGTTATAGACTTGTGGACACGTTTGGCAGGAATGTGCTCTGCGCTGAGCTTTTCCAAACAGACTGCCCTCTATCCTTGAAGTTGCTGCAAACTTTCAAGGCGACTGTACACCCTAGGCGATGCTTAAGAAAACCTAAGTTTTCGGCCAGAGTCTCGATTTTTCTTAACGTTTCAACGTAAATCTTCAGATTTTAATGGAAATGTTGGGTTTTTATTCAAGTTCTGAGACTATGAATTTCTTAACCCATGATTTCTTAAGCATTTCGCAGGGTGTAGGTGGCGCTAAGGCGAGAGCCATATTTTGAGAGCCACCCGCCCTCCGTCCGTGAAGCTGTTGCACATTCCGTGTCTCGGGACCATAAACGGTGCGGAAGCCTTGGGCGAAACGCCCGGCCTGACCTGCCGACATGTCTGGAGGTGTGACAGGGTGGAACTGTTTATGAGGAAAATGGATCGGTTGAGAGAGAGAGAGAGACGGCGCGGATGTGGAGGGATAGGAAGTAGACATAAAGGGAGAAGTGAGGAGGAGGAGGAAGAGGAGGAGGAGGAGCAGGAGGAGGAGGAGGAGGAAAAAGTTGAGGAGGAAAGGAGGAGGAGGAGGAGGAAAGGAGGAGGAGGAGGATTCGTTGATGACTTGTTTCAACAGACAGGCTAAGACAGGGGCGAACGAGGAAATGCCTGGAGTCCAACGCCACGCGTTGAGAGGAGCAGGAGGGACGAACCCGACGCCCATCCGCCGCACCAGACCCCCCCCATCCTGTCGAAACATACGGGGCTACACCCCCAGCGCAGTCCACGAGAAGGCACCATCGTCCGCCAGCCGATGAGGGCTCCAAAAATCCTGGAGAATTGCCAGGATCACGCGCGCGCAAGGAGGGTGGGTGGCAGCGATGGCCTTGGTCAGGCGGGCAGCGGCAGTTTCTGGCTCAGCGCGGCCGCGTGTGCCGCAGCGGCTACCAGCGCATAACCTGTCTACTCCTCTACTCCAGCGGCGGTCGCGACATCCCGTGCAAGAAAGGCAGTGGCAGAAGCCGGTCTGCACCAGCGGCGGTCGCGGCATTCCGTGCAAGAAAGGCAGTGGCAGAAGCTTGTCTGTTCCCCTCGCGGTCGCGGCATCCCGTGCGAGGAGGGCGGTGGCAGGAAGCCGCGCCACGTGGCCAGCAGTACCCGGGCGGCAAGGAGGTGAGCACCGATTCCCAGGGCGGCGCGGCAAATTTGGTGACAGCAACACCAATCACTAGGACGTTCGGGAGTGAAGCGGGGGGAGGGGGGTGCGTTGCAAGCGATTGTCCGATTGCGCCCAGTGGTGCGGCGTTCTGGCCTTTCAGTGCGGCAGCGCGCATCGCTTGACCGGGCAGTGCCTGTTGAGCAACGCAGAGATCGTGCGCATGAGACGGATAGCTTGGATAGCTTTGGCAGCCACTGTCTCAGCGAGTGCGCGAACGAAAGCTTTCTGGTACGATTGGCGTTCCAGTTGGCCTCCTCCTGTTCTTCCTTGCTCCTGCTCCACCTCCCTCCTGACTCGCTTTTCGTGGAGCCGCCAGGCGAGACCGTTCAGCTCATCCTGGACAATCTCTCGTACGTCTCCGCCATGAGCCTGCTGGCCTACTGGGCGTCCACTTTGTCGTGGGGACTCGGAGGAGCGCCCCAGCGCTTCCCTGGGGAGACGTCGTCGTCGCCGCCATCTTCCTCCGCCTCGTCCTCTTCGTCCTCTTATTCCTCAGACCTCCTGCTCCCTCCCTCGTCCCTCCCTCCCACGTCCTCTATCCTTCCTCTTGGTCCTTCTCGCCCTCCATCCCTCCTTCAGTTTCTGCCCGCGGGGCTCTTTGGCTTCTCCTTCTGCTGCTGCTGCTCCTCCTCCTTTATACTCCCTCCTCATCCTCCAACCCTCATCCTTGTATAGCACTCCCCCTCGTTGCACCTTCAGATGTGTCGGTACGCTACTCTGGGCGTCACGCTTGAAATTTACTTCCCAATCATGGCCCCGAGTAATTCCCAGCAGCCAAAATGACGGAGGGCGTGCAGTTTTCAACATGTTGTTCTCGCCGTAGTGCCGCGCACAGTCTTCATACAATATCCCGACAGTCACAGAGAAAGAGGGCGTGCGGGTTTCTAGATGTGGTTATCGCCTGATCGCCGCGCACGTCCTCCGTGAAAGCTTCTAGCAGTCACAATAATAGTGGAGGGCGGGCCGTATTCAACATTTGGCTCTCGCCTTAGCGTCGGGCACACTCGCCTTACAGGTTTCGCTGGAATGGAGGGTGCGTCGTTTTCAGAATGTGGCTATCGCTCGAGACTTACTCGAGGTAGGTACGTAAGCCGACGCAGACTACGACGACGGCAACGACGACGACGACAGAACTTTGATGACGACGACGACGACGTCGACGGCAACGAAGACGACGTCGACGACGACAACGACGACGTCGACGACGAGGCGGAGGACGAAGGACGACGACGACGGCGACGGCGACGGCGACGACGGCGACGACGGCAACGGCAACGGGAACGGCGATGACAAGGAAGGATCTCGGCGCGACGCCGGGCGCCGCCGGCCCCCCCGCGCGCCCAGGCGACACCTGGGACGCTGAGATGCGGTCCCTATTCGCCCTCGTGGTATCCGAAGAGGCCTGCTGGGCGAGGCCGCGACTCCACAATCGTTGGCGAACGGGGGGGAAATGAGAAGGAGAAGGTCCTTTCAGAAGGCGGCAGGGCTTCTCAGAGGCCCTCGCGCCTGCTGAGAAGCTTTCTGCGTCTTCGGTGAAGGCTTAGAAAACTTTTCAGAAGGCCAAGGGACTTCCGAGCCTTCTGTGAAGGCCTTCTCCTTCTCACTTTCCCCCCAGACTCGCCGCCGAGACAAGGGAGGAGGCGGGAGGGCAAGGAATTGGAACGGGACCACCGCGGGGCTCACTTCGACTCCTCCGAGTCGATTCCGATCCGATGCCGATCGGTTCCGATTCCGACGCGCTTCGGCTTCGGATTCCAATTTGGACTTCGGTTTCTTAGTGGAGCGTCACTAGCCTGCCGATTGTCGTCGATTCGACTTTCTCCGACTTGGCTACCGATTTCCGCCGATCCGATTCATGTCGATCGCCGATCCGGCCTGTCGATTCGATTACGTGGGCTCTTCTGCCAACGGCGTACGTGTCCAGGTCACCCGCAGGGGCGCGAAGATAATCGCGCTTCGCGCGTCGCGGTCTGGGCCGGAGCGGCTGCCCTGCTCCAGGGGGGGGGGGGGGCGACGCGAGGGCGCGAGGGCGCGAAGATAATCGCGCGTCGCGCAGCGCAGGGCGCGATGCTCGAAGTTAGGTGGCCCAGGGAGGCGGGAGAGCTGGGAGTGGGAGCGGGGAGCGGGACCAACGGCGTACGCAGTCACACCAGAGAAAAACAGGGGGGAGAGGATCTTGCTTGCCCGACGCGCAGGAACACCTTGAGGCCCTCGCGCCTGCCCGCCAAGATGACCTGCGACGAAACGAAACAGACGTTGCCTGTAGAGGCTGTTCGCGGCATGCGGCATGTATCCCAGGAGGAGGTCGAGGGGGGAGGAGGATGAGGGGGAGCGGATGCCGGCCTCGTTATGGCAGTGTGCCGTCATTGTCAGTTCGTGTTCTCCCTATACGCTCCCTCCTGGGGCTCTCTTGGGTCGTCTTGGAGACTCTGGGGCCGTCTTGGTGCCCTGTTGGGCCGTCTTGCGGCCCGACTCTCTTGGCGGCCTCTTGGGGCGGCCTCTTGGGACGATCTTGAGCGATCTTCGGGGCCCCTTGGGTTACCCTGGAGCGTTGGAAGCCCGAAAAGGCGAGAATGTTCAAATCCTTCGAAAACTTAAGGTAAATGAGTGATGGTCGCCTCTTGGGGCCCTCCTTGGTGTCCTCTTGGAGCCCTCTTGGAGCGTAATGGAGGCCTCTTGGGCCGTCTTGAGGCCATCTTGCCTGTCTTGAAGCGCTCTTGGGCCGTCTCGGGACCCCCTTGGACCCTCCTGGGGCCCTCTTGGAGCCCTCTGACCTGTTTTGGGCCCCTCTTGCCTCCAGAAACGTTTAGCGAGAGCACGCGACGAGCCCCGGAAGCGCCCAAGAGGGCCCAGAACTCGGGGTACGATTCTCGGCACGGAGGACCATTGAAAGTAGGTATTCTCGAAGACCCAGTTTCCAATCTACTTTAGGCGCCTTCCTACTTCTAAGGCTCGAGTGGTTTTCCTTTTACCTTCGTCTTCCGGGGGCGGGCGGAGGTCCAATCCATTTCAACGCCTTCCTACTTCATGTTTCTACCCACTTCTTCCGACCGACGGGTACTCCACCTCGTGCCTCGGTGCACAGTGGCGGATTCTGATGTCAGAAGTTGGGGGGCGAGGTCGCGGAAGAAACGGAGGCACTCCACCAGGAAATCGTTTTCGGTTTCGTGGCGTGCGGGCGGGCGAGGCGAAGCAGCGTGCGCGGGCGAGAGGAGTGATCTCGCCGTTACTAGTGCGAAGTGCCAGCAGAAGACTCTCCTCACAATTGGTTGGCGGGTTTTGGCCCGCGATTGTCCCATGGTTGTCCTGTTGTTGTCCCGATGTTTGTCCCGACGGTTGTCCCGATGGTTGCGCTGCTGGGTGTTGGCCCAAAAATCGCTCGGCGCCTTTGGCGCCTCGAGGTGGCCAACATGCAACAAACACTTGCGCTGGTTGTCTGGATGGCTGTCACAATGGATAGATAGTGGGATCGACATATGTACACACATATATATATATATATATTCCCTTTTCTATATTTTTACAATCCGGGGGGGTGGGACCCCCCCCCCCCCCGGAAAATCGGACCCCCGGGATCTGGCGCTTTTAGGGCCCCCTGGACGCCTTGCAATGCAATGGGTCCCCCGGGCCTTCCGGGCCTCCTGGACGCCCCTGCCGGGCCTTGCCAGCGGGCCCAAAGCGGTCAGGAGGGCGGCCAAACGGCCCCGCGAGAGCCCCACGCGGCCCCAGACAGCCCCAAGACGCCCGAAGACGACCCAAAGAAAACCCCCAAGAGGTCCTCCAAGTGCAAAAAAACAACACTTTCCTTTCCTTTCCTTTCCTTTTTTTTTTGCCTTAAAAAAAGAAGGAATTTTTGGACATTCGGTTCTTCGGTTTTCCGTGCGTCCGAGTCCGCCGAAGAGGCCCCAAACATCCTCCCACAACGGTGTCAAAGGGCTTCCAGACAGTCCAAAAGAGCCCCAATATGGTCCAACAGGGCCGCAAGATGGCCCCAAGAGAGCCCCGCTGACAGCCCCAGATGGCCCCAAGACGCCTCCCGAAGCACTCCAAATCGTGACCCGGTCGTTCAGGGAGACCGTGGTTGGTAGCAAGGTGGCCGCAAGAAGCCCCCAGAGGCCCCCAAAAGGCGCCCAGGAGGCCCCCAGAGGTCCCCAAAAAGCTTTTGAGAGGGGCCCAAGGTTACCTCCAAAAAGGAGCCCCTGCAATAAAAACTGGGATGAGGACAAGGAGTGGCTCGCAGACAAGGAAGATTACGAGTAAGAGGAGAGGAAGTATAAGGATAGTACATAACATTACTATAACGACGATGGCGCAAACGGCAACAATGAATCATCGCTATATTTGGCTCTCCTGCATGCCGTTCTTCAAGAACCAAGGTGCATGGCGCGAAGCGCCAATGCAGTCTTGCATATATATATATATATATATATATATATATATACCGGGCTACAGGGCCGGGGGCTCCCTGGCCGGGACCGCAACCCCCCATGGCGGGATCCGGCCTCCGGGAGCGCCCTTGTCCGGCCCAAGAGGCGCCGAAGACGGTCCAAGCGTGCCTCGAGACGCTCACGATCGATCCGAGACGCCCAAGATGGCTCCGAGACGGCCCAAGAGACCTCCAAGATGTCCCAAGAGAGCCCCAAGAGCATTCCCAAGAGGGATGCAAGAGGCCGAAATCATTGATTTCCGTTGGTTTTTTCCTAACAGCGAAGACTGATAGGCTTCTAGTAGAGTCAAAAGAGAGCATCATGACTCCCTAGGGGGGTCTGGGCGGCATCCGGACACGGATCCGCGGAAGTCGTTTTAAGCAAACAGTTACACACTTCGTGGTCTTCGAGGTCCCAGAACTCCATTCCCGGGCCGCATTTTGAATGCCAGGAGCCACCTGTAGGCCACTTCGTGTTCTTCGAGTTCCCAGAACTCCATTCCCGGGCCACATTTTGAATGCCCTGAGCCAACCGTAGGCCACTTCGTGGTCTTCGAGTTCCCAGAACTCCATTCTTGGACATGATTTTGAATGCCCGGAGCCAACTGTAGGCCACTTCGTGTTCTTCGAGTTCCCAGAACTCCATTCCCGGGCCACATTTTTAATGCCCGGAGCCAACTGTAGGCCACTTCGTGGTCTTCGAGTTCCCAGAACTCCATTCCTGGGCATGATTTTGAATGCCCGGAGCCAACTGTAGGCCACTTCGTGTTCTTCGAGTTTCCAGAACTCCATTCCCGGGCCACATTTTGAATGCTGAGGCAGGCTGATGCTGAGGCTGAGGCAGGCTGAGGCTGAGGCAGGCTGAGGCTGAGGCCGAGGCTGAAGGCAGACTGAGGCTGAGGCTGAAGCAGGCTGAGGCTGAGGCAGAGGCGGGCTGAGGCTGAGGCTGAGGCAGGCTGATGCTGAGGCAGGCTGAGGCTGAGGCTGAGGCTGATGCAGGCTGAGTCTGAGGCAGGCTGAGGCTGAGGCCGAGGCTGAAGGCAGACTGAGGCTGAGGCTGAAGCAGGCTGAGGCTGAGGCTGAGGCAGGCTGAGGCTGAGGCTGAGGCAGGCTGATGCTGAGGCAGGCTGAGGCTGAGGCTGATGCAGGCCGAGGCTGAGGCAGGCGGAGGCTGAGGCCGAGGCTGAAGGCATACTGATGCTGAGGCTGAAGCAGGCTGAGGCTGAGGCTGAGGCAGGCTGAGGCTGAGGCTGAGGCAGGCTGATGCTGAGGCAGGCTGAGGCTGAGGCTGAGGCTGCGGCAGGCTGAGGCTGCGGCAGGCTGAGGCTGAGGCCGAGGCTGAAGGCAGACTGAGGCTGAGGCTGAACCAGGCTGAGGCTGAGGCTGAGGCAGGCTGAGGCTGAGGCTGAGGCTGAGGCAGGCTGATGCTGAGGCAGGCTGAGGCTGAGGCTGAGGCTGATGCAGGCTGAGGCCCTGATGCCGAGGCTGCGTGCGGCAGACTTGAGGCTGAAGGCGAGGCTGAGGCTGAGGCTGAGGCAGGCTGAGGCTGAGGCAGGCTGAGGCTGAGGCCGAGGCTGAAGGCAGACTGAGGCTGAGGCTGAAGCAGGCTGAGGCTGAGGCTGAGGCAGGCTGAGGCTGAGGCAGGCTGAGGCTGAGGCTGAGGCAAGCCGAGGCAGGCTGAGTCTGAGGCTGAGGCAGGCTGAGGCTGAGGCAGGCTGAGGCTGAGGCTGACGCAGGCTGAGGCCGAGGCAGGCTGAGGCTGAGGCTGAGGCTGAGGCAGGCTGAGGCTGAGGCAGGCTGAGGCTGAGGCTGAGCAGGCTGAGGCCGAGGCAGGCTGAGGCTGAGGCTGAGGCTGAGGCTGAGGCTGAGGCTGAGGCAGGCTGAGAGGCTGCTGAGGCAGGCTGAGGCTGAGGCTGAGGCTGATGCAGGCTGAGGCTGCGGCAGGCTGAGGCTGAGGCCGAGGCT